TGAATCCGTTTGCTTAATCCGCAAGCACATATCTGCTATTCCCGAAAGGCCATCTCATAACTATCCACTTAAGAATGCAGAGCACGATCTTTATCTGCCAACCCCGAGCTCAGAACTAGTTAAAGGTTCAATACTGTACAATGCCAAAAAAATGTACAATCATCTGCCTTTGAATATCAAATCGCTTTCATTCTTTCCCGTATTTCGCAAAGCTCTAAAATCATACTTACTGGAGAGAGCCCTATATGCGGTAAACGACTTTTTTGTTGATGTTTAATTTTATGAACAATTTTGAATTTTAAAATTTTGATCATCTCGCACACTGGTCAAAGGTCAAGTATTTAATATTTTATAACTTTAAAATTATATCTATTTACTGCGTACTGTTCTAAAATTGTCCATGTATATTCTTTTTGTAATTTTAAAGACTTAAATTTTTTTGAATTGTATCATTTGTATTGTGTATTTTTTGTTGTTTGTATTTTTTTGTGATTTTGTTGTTTGTGAGTGCTTTGTCGATGAAGCTATTTTGGCTTTTTGCACAATAAAGCGTTGTTTGTTTGTTTGTTTGTTTTTGCAAATTGTAAGTTTGGGGTTCGTTAAAAGACTATTAGAGCTACAACTTAAAAATATTTTTACAAGATTCCGAGTGTCTCAAAAATAATAAATAAAAAATATCAAAGTTGTATTTTTTTAAATGGCACACCCTGTATATTATTACATTTTTAGTTTCTACGATTAAAATAAAGGTAAATTTGATTAAGGTTTACCGCATTTTAATCTTACCGTTTTTGAAATATTTAAGTTTTTGTCAAAATACAGTAATAATTTTTATGCTTCATTTCTCTAGGCGTATTTAAGTTTTTAAAGCCAAATATTAAGGCTTCATTTCTCCGAAGGTATCAAAGTTTTTAATACTAAATATTTAGTGAAGTTTATTTATTGATCAGTTATTGTGTTGCAATAATAAAAATTATACTACTTTCTACAGAGTGTCTAAAAATTTATTTTAAATAATTACTAGCTTTAAACGATAATAACTTGTTTAATTTAAATAGAACACCCTGTATATTTTATCAGAATCAGATACACAATTTAATTGTCTATTAAATTGTATTATACCATTTTTTACCTATCTCTTCAAGTTTTCGTAGAAAATGCCATTGTCTTATAATTTAGACCTCATTTATCTATATATATATCCATGGACATGACATTTTAGATTATTTTTAAAGATGTAATAAATTTTTAAAGAGTACAGATACTAATATTGTCGATATGTCGTTATAGTTCGCTTATTTCATTAAAAAATAAAAAAAAACTGTTTAAATATTTGTTAAAGAGGACCAATTAATATGATTCCAGTATTCAAACTACATTAAGCCCCATACTCACACTTCGCTCCTTCCTCGCCTTACTTCCTCGCGTTCCTTCGTCCCTTCGCTTCCTTCCTTCGTCCATTCGATGCTTGGAAATTAGTCAGTTATGCAACAACACACCACAAAATATTTTTAATATAGCAGCTACATGTTTAATACGAAATATCTAGTAACCTCTAAAATTTTTAAAAAATCCGAAAGGCGCATAATTTTTATTTTATAAAACTGCAATTCTTTGTCGTGTCAAAAATAAAAATTGAATTTTAATTATATATTTTTTTTAATAAATCCGAATATTTCAGTATCATGTACAAGGTATATCAGTATGAATGTACAAGGCGAGTCAACAATAGAGTAAACTTTATTATGTAATTTATATCGAAACCATGAAATATGACATACTAATTAAACGTTAATGATGTCAATCGCCATTGCTTCAGATATTTTTGTAAAGGCATCATGTACATTATTTCTATTTTTTTATTTTTGTCGCTACGATTACATAAATATGGACATGCATTTTTTCACAAATATGAAGACAATATTGTTTTTTTCTTCGATTTTTTAGACTATTGTGTGTGAATTATTTTTATATCGACTGGCGATAGCTAGATGTACAGGATGTCTCATTTGTGTGTGTTTTATGGGGTTTCTGGTTTATGAGTAGAGATATAAAGATGCTGTTTTCACATCATTGTTCTACTTATTATGAAACTAAATATGCCACATAAGAAATAAGAAATAATTTTAAACTAAGAAAGCTAGGATAAATATGTATTTATCCTAGCCTTCTTAGTTCAAAGTTATTTCTTATTTCTTTCTTTTACTTTTTATTTTTTAATTAGTAGAAATTTTTGCGTTTTTCGATAACCTTTATATCTCGATTATCTTATAACTTATCGAAAAGGTGAAAAGGGTCAGTGATGGGCGGTGGGTAAGTACCCAATTTGTAGATAAATAAAATCTGGGTATATACATATGTATATACCTGTAGATTTAGATGAACATCCTAATTTTAATAAAAGGAGTTTCCGACGACCGCATAATAAATACCCGGTATAATACCGGGGAATAGAAATATACCAATATATAATATCTATAATATATATATATATATATATATATATATATATATATATATATATATATATATATATATATATATATATATATATATATATATATATATATATATATATATATATATATATATAAGAAATATTGTAGATATACTCGTATTCCTGACATTACTGGTATTATATCGGGTATTTACTATGCGGTCGTTGGAAATACCTTTATAAAATTAGACTGTTCATCTAAATGTACAGGTATATACCGGATACCCTGATTTTTGTTTTGTTCTACCTATTGAGTACTTATCCACCGCCCGTGTCTCGTTTTTCAGGTAGAATGGCAGTGACGAAAGTGGTTCTTCGTTGGGAGCTGTCTATTTCGAAAATTGACTCAAACTTATGTTCTTTTTTTTAAACAGGACACTATATATTATTTTTTATTTTATTTGCCTTGTTATGAGCTTTCGAAAATTATAATATACTCTATATTTATTTATTTAGGTACTGCTAAACTGCTAAACGGCTCTTATTTTATTTAACTTAATTTTACCAGATAATTTTGCTTTGCATCGTGATATTTTGATAAGCTACACGGAAACTGAACTTGTGCTGCTTTTAAATAACATGCCAATAACCAACATTTTACGTCGAATAAATTAGTTGTTTGTTTTGATTACCTAATTTAAACCGGCCGACTATGTAATAAAGTTGCATTTTTACCCCGTTTATGAAAATAAGTATTTTAGAAAGCTCGTAACAAGGAAAATAAAATAATATACAAAATATCGTATTTAAAAAAACATATAAGTTTTAGTCAATTTAAAAAAAGACAGATTCCAACGAAGAAATAGTTACGTCACTGCATTCTACGTGAAAAACTGTACGGGAGACCGTTTTCACCTTTTCGATAAGTTATGATACAAAAGGGATCGAAAAATGCAATAATTTCAGATTCGCCCTGTATTTTAGGAAGTAAGAGAGCTAGGACATATCTGTATGTAGCATCTTTAGTTTCATAAAAAAGTAACAGCGTAATGTGAAAACCGCATCTTTGTATTTCGACTCATAAACGAGAAACCTTGCAAAACACACGAAAATGGGACACCCTGTACAGACGTACTGCCAAATCAAGAAATCAACTACGAATCAAATCCAAGATCGATTTATATATTTTATATATTTTAATATTTTTTAGTGATAATTCCTTTGCTACTTCCTCCAAAAACCGACAATACGTGAAAGGAGCGTTTTGAGGAAGTAAACGGACGAAGTAGCGTTTTGACGAAGGAGGAAGGAAGGCATAAACTCGATATTTTCCCATAGTAAATATATGATTTTTGGATGAAGGGACGCGAGGAAGGAACGAAGTGAAGTAGCGAAGTGTGAGTATGGGGCTTTAATTCCAAATACTAAAAAACTGAATTTTGTATGTGTATTAGACAGTGTGAAAAAAGTACCACCTTAAAATAATTATTTCATATTTTGACGAATGCTTATTTATAACAGAGACGTTCTTTTTCATAACTTATTATTATATTGATTTCTGATTCAAATCCATATTTATTTAGCATAATTTATTAACTAACACAATTAAGTATATAATTAATTAATATTTGGGCGGAAATAATGGTGGTATATTTAATTAATGGTCTAGGTACTCTTTTATAACAATTTAAATAGTTTTCTTTTTGTATACAAATGAGCTGGTAATATTATTAATTCTCGTTTTTAGCACCTGTACACTTTGTACATTTCTTGCTTTAAAAACAATCTAAAATGTCAATATTCCATGGGTATATTAATAAATGAGGTCTAAATTATAAGAAAATACATTTTCTACGAAAACTTGGAGGTATAGGTAAAAAATGGTAAAATATAATTTGATAGACAATTAAATTGTGCATCTGATTCTCCTAAAATATACAGGGTGTCCCATTTAAATTAAATTTTACCGTTTAAAGCTAGAAATTATTTTTATTATAACACAATAACTGATCAATAATATTTAGTATTAAAAACTGATACCACAGGATACCCTTGGAGAAATGAAGCCTTAAAATTTTTATTGCAATTTCATTAAATTGAAAATATTTCAAAAACGGTAAGGTTTAAGTATGATTAACCTTAAACTAATTTACTTTTTATTTTAATCGTAGAAATTAAAAATGTAATAATATACAGGGTGTTCAATTTAAAAAAAAATATCTGATATTTTTTATATATTTGGGACACCCTGTATCTTGTAATAATATTTTTAAATAACTAATAATAAATTTATTTTCATATCTTATTTCCTCTAAAATGGTAGAGAAATTTTGAAACAAATAAACGGGAATAACAATTTTAGAACAAGTTAAAACTTTTATAAAGAATGCATTTTTCTCAAAATGTTAATCTGATAATATACTTATAGATGCCCGACACACTGTTGCAGGTTGCAGCACATAGTATAGTAATATTTTCTTTCTATTGTAAATATAAGACATCTTTGAAAGAAAAATATGATTGTGAAAAACCTAACATTTCTGCTTAAATTAAAAAAAACCTCTGTTGCATAATAAAATATTTATTTATATTTGCCTTGACATTAACATATTCAATCGTCCAGAATTTGAGTTTCAACAATTTCATTTTCTGTTTGACTTGGAAGAGATTGATTCCTAGAAATCTCGTATTGATTGGACCAGTCTTTTGGCAGCCTATCTTTGTATATCTGAAAAACAATAAATTACCAACATTTGTTATTTGTTGTATGTCTAATGTGTTAAACTACTTACCTGACAAACAAATTCTAAAACAGCCATCTTTGAAACTTCTTTTTCTGCTCTAGCACCCCACTTAAATGTTTGTCTCCTTGATTTGATATCGAGTTCCGATTGCAGGTATTGTTTCTTTAATAATATTTTTGTAATATAATCTTTTACTTTACCAAATATTGGATGATCAACTTCCACATCAATTCCAAGAGAATTCAGAAAACTATATAGTGAAACTACAAGTAAAATTTATATAAAAAAATACATTTTAAGTATAAATGTTCATACCATCTGAAACTGAATTATTAGACATAAATATGTGGGCTAGAATTAACAAAATCAATATTCTATTAACATCATCTGGAATATCTTCTTCATTAGTGTTCTTTATGTGTGATAAAGTATTTGTAATAATGTAAGATTTTTCTTTCCCTTTTATTGTGTCACATATTACCATATTATATCCATAGACCTTAAATTATAAATACAAATTAAAAAAAGGAAAATTATAAAATCTCTTCACAACTGCATACAGAATTTAGTATTTCGTTCGTTCGGGTAATAATGTCTTCATATCGACTGGTTTTGTGTATAACGTTCTTCATCAAATCAGATTTACTGAAGACTGTATGTTCTCCACCTTTATAAATAATATACCGAACAAGATCATTTACAGTGTCTTCTATATTCCCTTCAACCAATGAGTTGTTTTGGCTAAGCTGACTGCTTCGATTAGTTCTACGTTGTGACATTTTAACTTTAAATTACTAACAACTTAAAATACAAAGCTTAAGCTACTTAAAGCCTGGGAATATAACAATATCCATAAAATAAATCAGAAAAATTTACTGACGGCTTGTTTTGGTTTAAAAAAATAAACAACAAGACAAAATTGACGTAAAACTGACATTGACAAACAAGTGTCGCCGTTGCCGTTACCAAAGCAAAGATATAGAGGTAGGGAGAAAAAGCATGGGCGTGGACAAAATTTCTAATTATGGTGGCCGCCATGTTTGCGCCTTTGTTCGCGCATATTCTATAGGGGGAGGTCAGAAACTAATAGTGATTATAACAAACCATCTTAGTTAATCTTAAAAATATGGCAAAATATTATTTAGATTACTACCGTAAATCACACAGTACCTATTACAGTGGAATAATGATCTTTTGATCAAGACAAGAACGAAACAGAAAGTACTATAAATAGTAAAATTACTAAAACAATCATTAAAGTAAATGATTATCATAGTTTGGCGCACTGGGCATGTATAAATTAATATTTCTGTATTAGTTATTACAAAAGTTTACAAATAAGAATGTCTTATTTTTTATTTTAGTACTACGAACCATCATTAAAATACTAAACAAATAAAATAAATAAAATTTACTAACATAACTACCTACTAATTATTAAATGATTACACATACTAAAAACAGTTCAGAAGAATACCAAAGCCGTTTATACTCGTATCTCAATTTATAAGTCCAAAAAAGCTAAAAAATTAAAACACATGCCCAAGGGTGCCAAACTATCTCAAAAAATCTAAAAATTCAGAATATCGATAGAACTAAATAATAAATTAAACTGAAACAAATTAGAAATTATCAGCTGTGATTATTACTTATTTGATTCCCCCTGTAGGCGTAAGCGGTACTCGTCAAGGTTCATTTCCTTACCTCTATATTTTTGGTTTCATCAGAAAGTAACTTTTTTTAAGTAGATCTGTGGTTTTATCAAAAAGCACAGCTCTAATATGCATGTATTACTGGTTGACTACACTAAATTCAATTAAAAAAATGTGAAACGTCAATTTTCTGATCCGTGATCTGTGTTCTGTCAGTTTAGTAGTTTAGTAGATATTTTTTGATGTGCTTAGTTGAAGAAAGTGAATTTGCATTTGTTAAAAAAAGAATTAATTATAAATATTAAGGAAGCGTTTGTGCTTCGTTACTTAATGTGTGTAAAATCTGTTTGAAGTGGAGTAATAAATATTTTTCTGAAACTGACTCAAAGTGCTGAAATATTTAATTATTCATTATATGGACTGAGGACAATGTGTTATTAAAGGAAGAAGGTAAGGATTTATATTTAGTTAAATACCAAGAAATAGCTTGCTATAGATGTGAAGCATAGTCATTTTATTCTACGTAAAAATATAAGTATTATTAAATTCTTAAACCGGTTTGGAAACTCTTAGTAAATGTGCCAGTGGTTTTATATTATTTGGAAAAATAGGTTTATATCTGGTATTTACATTGATAGATTATTATGTATTATTTTTAGTGCTATTTTTCAATGACTGCGATGTTTTTACTCTGTTCTATAGGTAGAATACAATGAAAAGAATTTTAAAACTATTACCTGTTATGAAACTCTATTGTCAGTACCACTTGCCTAGCCTAGATTTCTCTATTTTTTTACAAAAATTGAACAGTTTTATGTATATTATTCTTAAGTCTAGTTTGTTAAAAAATAATACCTAATAATGTTGTGCATTTATTTTTGATTACTAATTACTAGGGTGAGAAATTGTATTCAGACATTTTAATATATGAGAAAGAGAAGCAGGTATACCTAGCTAGAAATAATTTCTTTGATTTTAGTTACTTGAATACATTCAAATGATTAAATGTATCTATCAGAGATATAAACATGAAATTATTACTTATAATCAATTAGCAATCAATACTATGCACTTTGTCATAAAAAAGCTAAATTCTTTTTTATTTGAAATAAAAAAATGGAGCTATTTTGTTATATATATATATATATATATATATATATATATATATATATATAGATTTATTAAACCGCTTATACGATATATATATATATATCTTATTTATTGCCAATTAGGTACATGGCCAATTGAACTTGATTAATTTCATCAGTTATTAATTATTTTATTGAGGATTTACTACCAATGACGTTTAGTTTGTTAAAATTATTTCCTTTCAATAGAGGTAGAAAAGAAGGACCATGGTAGTTGATTTATGATTTTGACAAAGCACAATTTGAATTTAGAGCTTATATTTATGTTACTTATTTATGGTTGAAAAATAGTAATAATTAAGAATGTTTTGACAATTTTATTTATTTATTTGTGTGTAATTAGCAGGGTGCAATGATTTAAATCAATGGATTTTTTGTTTTAATCATGGATTTAAATTAAAAAAAATCAGCTAATTTAAATACTTATGATAAATCGAAAGATAACTGTAAAAGTTAGAAAAACTTTTCCTATAAAGCTATAAAAAAGTATTCCTATATCAAATATGGCCTATGAGAATTAAGATATTCTTTGGCCCTATTCATCAAAGTTACAAGTACAAAGTTACACTTGCTGTTGTAACGTTTAAATATTTTAATAGATCGAAAAAAAATTAAAAAAGGTATATACCGTATGATCGAATAAAAACGGCGTCCAGTTGGCTTGGAAATGACGATCGATGGCATTTCCTATATAAATTTACATATAAAATGACAGCGATCTTCATTTCATAGCCATCGCTGACGCCGTTTTTATTCGATCATACGGTATAAAAACACATATCCCTAATATCTATTTATCTATTAAAATGTTTGACCGATTTTTGAAGTTATTTCGTGGGAATCCATTACACTTCTAAATAGCTGAGATTTATTTTGAAATTGGGAAGTGCCAGAAATCCGGTATTTCAATACATTTCATTCCCAAACTCTAGTGCAGGACTAGCTTCTTCTGATGTCAGGTTATATTTTTATTCCCGAGGCCTAATCAATGTCAAAAGATAAGCTGGAGTCAAGGTTATTTTATACCTTTTTGGAAACAGCTGAATGTTGATCAAGCTAACTTCCACTTTCCCTAATTTATCTTCTAGTTCATTCCAAATTTCTACATTTTGTTCGGCAATAAGTAAAGCACTTTGAACATTAGATGGTACCAATTTTATTCTCAACTTAAGACAGTCATGACTATTACCAAAAAAATCCCTTTGATCTAAGGGGCCGATTTTTTTGGCGGAAATAGGGGCATCTCGGCCAAGTTTACAGAATAAAATATATCGGCAACGGATATGGAAAAAAGACAACGCGCCGTAGGAATGTTATTATTATCGATATCGGGCAGATTTACGAAGATTTAGCCATTTAGGATAGGACTTTAAATAGAAAATTGATTAAAATCAAAAGAAATCCGATTAAAATTAAAAAAATCTGATTAAAATAAATAAAATTGATTTTTTTTATTTAAAAAAAAATCATAATTTTTTTGCACTCTGGTAGTTAGTAGGTATACATACCTTAGTAGAAGAAGAAAATTCTAACTAACCCTGGGGCGCTATTCTGTACAATCGTCGGTAACGGTAAGTTACCGACAGCTATCGGTACGTATTTGTATATAGTAAACATGTGTTGCTTGTTGTTGTCATAGTTACCGATCGGCCCTATGACAGATATCGCGAATTTGTACCGACGACTCTCGGTATCTCTACCGTGAGGTTAACAAGGGCATGGTAGAGATACCGATTTTCGTCGGTACAAATTTGCGATATCTGCCATAGGGCCGATCGGTAACTATGACAACAACAATTAACACATTTTTACTATATACAAATACGTATCGAGAGCTGTCGTAACTTACCGATATCGACGATTGTCGAAGCCGTGTACAGAATAGCGCCCCTGGGGCGCTATTCTGTACAATCGTCGGTATCGGCAAGTTACCGACAGCTATCGGTACGTACGGCCAATGAGCGTCGTGTTGATTGTTGTCATAGTTACCGATCGGCCCTATGACAGATATCGCAAATTTGTACCGACGACTCTCGGTATCTCTACCGTGAGGTTGTCAAGGGCACGGTAGAGATACCGATTTTCGTCGGTACAAATTTGCGATATCTGCCATAGGGCCGATCGGTAACTATGACAACAACAATTAACACATTTTTACAATATACAAATACGTATCGAGAACTGTCGTAACTTACCGATACCGACGATTGTCGATGCCGTGTACAGAATAGCGCCCTTGGGGCGCTATTCTGTACAATCGTCGGTATCGGCAAGTTACCGACAGCTATCGGTACGTACGGCCAATGAGCGTCGTGTTGATTGTTGTCATAGTTACCGATCGGCCCTATGACAGATATCGCAAATTTGTACCGACGACTCTCGGTATCTCTACCGTGAGGTTGTCAAGGGCACGGTAGAGATACCGATTTTCGTCGGTACAAATTTGCGATATCTGCCATAGGACCGATCGGTAACTATGACAACAACAATTAACACATTTTTACTATATACAAATACATATCGAGAGCTGTCGTAACTTACCGATACCGACGATTTTACAGAATAGCGCCCCTGGAGCATGCTTCCTTAACTATAACCGCGACTATAACTGTAACACAAGTTTTTATAGAAAAAAAAATACGGAAAAAATAAAATTTGGAAGGTAATTTTATTTTTTTTTGTGTCCCAAATAAAAAATAAATGTTTTTTTTGATAACTATTTAATTATTAATTTAAAAAAATAATTAAACCATTAAATTCTACTTAAAAAGGTGCCTTGGAAATGTTTGCATAAAAATACAAAATTTTCCATACCAAAAAAGTTACAGCGATTTGTTAAAAATGCACATTTTTGAAAAACATACCGTAACTCCGAAACGGTAACAGATATCGATGTACGGTTTTTACCATCATATTTTTGATAAAAATTTAGCTCCAGACACCTATTTTTTGTCTATTATGTATATGTTTTCGTCTATCTCCTATAGAAAAGGGTGTTTCTCTTTAAAAGTGTCCAATTTGACCCACCCTGTACAGGGTGTCCCATTTTAGTTGAAATCATACGGTATCTTCGTTGTTAGTAAAGATAGAAGGATGCGGTTTGCACAAACCTGTCCCACTTTTTTGTCAAACGAAAGACGCTGTAAACAAAATTTTCATAGCCTTCTTCTTTTCTGAGCTACAGGGTCTTTTCGAAAATTTTACAATTTGGCACAGCCTCCGTATCTCCGTTATTGTGAATGATATCGAGAAGATGAAAACTGATTCTTATAGAACTTTTTCTGTTGAATACAATGGCGTAGTCTGTTTTTCTACGAAAAAAATATTTTTGAAAATATTAACTAAAGGTATGTTTTTTTCAAATGGAACACCCTGTATATTTATAAATCCGTTATATATCCGTTTATAGATCCGTCTTGCTATGAGCTTGTCAAAGATATACATATGTCACTCTATATTTATTTTCACTATTTACTGCAATATTTAAAATATATCATTTTTTTATTGGTAGGCCGTGATAAATAACAAAAAAATCAGAATGGTATGTACTAAAATAGTCATACACATATTAAAATTTTATTTGGTATTGATATATTTTACTTTTGAACTGTTACCACTGCATCTCTGAATATATTTTTCTTTTTTTTATAACGGAATTTATTATAGCGGGATGAGTTTGCAAATATCTAAAAGCATGCATTATTAGCATTATTAAAGCATTATACAGGTGTTCGACATTGTTAGTAATTAGTCGACTTATATTTCACGTAAATTAGCTAAAGGAATATCTAGCAATTCCGATAAGATAGCTTCCAAGATTTACAAATAGCGGTAAAGATTTAACTTTCCGTAATATATAAAGAATTTATTAGTGGTTCCCAAAATAAAACAAGAGACAGATAGCAGTATACTTTTAATAATTCTTTAGTTTCTTTTGTTATCAATCATGGCCTACTAATAAATCAAATATTTGAACAAAAACTTTTAAATACTGCTGTAAATAGTGAAAATAAATATAAAGTGATATATATTTTTGAGAAACTTATGGCAAGCTAGATCATATAATTTATAAATATACAGCGTGTTCCATTTAAGAAAACATAAGTTTAGATCATATCTTTAAAAATATTATTTTCGTAGAATAACAGACTACGCCACTGCATCCTACGTAAAAAGTTCTACAATAAACAATTTTTACCTTCTCGATACCCTTAACAATAACAGAGATACAAAGGGTGTCCCAAATTGCAAAATTTTCAAAAAGACCCTGTAGCTCAGAATCGAAAAGGGCTATGAAAATTT